GCAGGAACAAATTGGGATACCACACACCTATTATCTGTACACAGTAACGTGGTAGGCTGGCAATTGGAAAGAAAACTCCTGGGGCCCAATTTCTCCTGCACTAGCCAATAAAACATGAAACAATACTGCTTCCATGTTTAATGGTGATTACTTGCATTAGTTTATTTATTATTATAAAGCTATTTTTTGTCACTAATACCACACACTGTTTTTTCTCGACTCATTGATGTTTCTCAAAAGATATGTCAGATCGTAGCCTGTACCGATAAGCTAATTAGCATACAAGGTTGGATTTCCGCAAGTCTGAATCTGTTGACGGCTCTTACGGCTGTAAGCGATTCTCTTGGATATTCCATAGTTTCATAGCATTCAGTTCCCTGCTCTATACAGAAAGTCAATAATTTGTCACCTAGAATTACTGTGACTGAAATCCTAATGTTAACTTTTAATACACCATCTGTAAAGCTATTAAAAATGTTTGTGTTATGTTTTTTCCCATCATACACATACTTCATTTGCACCATATGTGAAAGCCTCTTATCTAGGGGTTTAAAACTGAGTTGGTACGGGAAAGCCTTTTAAGCATCCAGCATTTAAGTAGTGAATTCTAACAAGGTTCTCAAAGGCATTTGAAATAGAAGCATATCTAAAACTCCAGCTGCCAATGAGCAGTGATTAAATTATGTAGGCTTCTCTTTGTCTGATTTGTTTTTTCTAATTTGCTTTGTGCTAAGTAGCCTCATCAGTTTGCACATTCCCTCGCAGACTGAGGAGTGCCAGCTTTCCCAACCAAACAGTGCTATTCAAAGTACTGCAGTATTTTCTATCTCCATGGAAGCTCAGCATAGTTTTGTGGTTTTTTTTCCTGCTGGCATGCCTTTTTTGAATTCTGCTACCACAGTTTCTGGAAAGTTCTTTTTTTTAACCATTTCTTAATTTTCATTTAGTATCATACTGGTTTTATAGGGCTTTTACAAAGAAAATTATACCATAACCTGTTTTTATTTCACTCCCAGAAGCAAGCTGTAGTACTTAGAGCAAGGACTGTGCTAGGAGTCAAATATGTCTTGTGATAATACAGACATTTGTCTGTCTTCTGACCATTTTAATTATTTCACGACGATCGTGTAACAAATATGTTGAGGTCCGTGTTTTGAACTTACCACAACTGCCAATAGCAAAGTTCAGTTACTTGTTTTGAAGTTGTCTTGGCTGAATAATAAAGGCATGTTACTTCTGCAGAAAGCAGAGTCAGAGCGATTACCGTGCATAAGGCAGTAGAAAGTGTTGTGGCTTCCTCTGTGGAGGGGTGAAGGCCTTGTCCTTCCTGTCCGCTCATTCCCATCTCCACTGGTAAGCTAGCAAAAGGAAATGGGTAGAAAATTGGTGATCTGCATGGTGAAAAATCATCTGGATTGGCTCATATGGCTGGGATGAACTAATGAATTTGTAATCTGTCGGATTTTGCATGAAGCCAAACGGGACATGCCTGCGAGAGCTGTTTCTGCAGGTTTGGGCAAGCAGGCGTATTTGATCATTGGTGTAGCTGAATCCAAAAGAGAATGCGATGTCAGACCTACCCCCTTGTTTTTGCTTTGTTGACAGTAACCTAAGTACTAACAAGCAAATAGTTTTATTTTTGCTATTTATGTTTTAACAGTGATTGGAGAATATTTAATACTGTTGCATGATAATGAAGAAATTATTGTAGTAATATATAAACGAAGTTTGGGGGGGGGGAAGACCTTATTGGTAATTTCACTTCTATATGGGCTTAACTTAAAATTATTCTGGAAAGCAATTATAAGCTTTTTGTACCAAAGACAGTATTTTTTTTGTTTGCATGGTAAAATACCTAATATATTTTTTGGGCTGCGATCAGGTTATACTGTATTTAAATGCTTCTGTGGTGGTGGTTTTAGATTTTAAAATAATTGATTGTAAGTTAAAAGAGACTCTTGCAGTGTCTAAAGTATTTGGGGATCTGGCATAAAAGATTTCATAAGAATTTAATTATGGGTTTAATTGTCCCTAGTACAGCCATATACTTTAGCATTGTCTTGACAAGAAGCTGCTGAGTAAACTATCCAGATATCTTTCTCATCGTATTTCCTTTTCTTTTATGAACATACTCGATTTAGAGAGAAAGCTTTAAATGCTGTAGTTACAGCAATAAAAGTATGTGGTCAACTTAGTGTTTATAAACTCTATATGTTGTGCTACACTAGGCCTGGCCTAATGGGATTTAGTAGTTTCCAAGATAAGGCTTTTCTTACACGTTTCCTGGTGTGCCCTTTTACTTGAAAACAGTTGGAGTTAAACGCAAGCAAAGAGCTCTATCGCCCTAATTTGCAAATGTGAGTCTGCTTCACAGCTTGAGTTCTGGAACAGCTGGATCTGAATCCAACACATTCTTCTGAATCTGGAGAACATCTGGAGTCTTCTCTGGAGCAGTGTAGATTTGATGTGTTATTACAGAGCTGCAGAACAAACTGATATCCAGCTGAAAAAAACCTCAGCACTTTAAGGAAGCTTATTTAGCAGCAAGCTGCTAGTAAGAGCCTGGCAAATTCTCAATTTTGTTAACAAGGCAAGTTGTTGTTCTCCTTTTTCTGTGCAGCATCAGTCCTGAATTTCTTAAGCAGTAATATTTCTAATAAATTGTGCTAGTTAAATGATTATGTTAAATGATAATGCATGGTACTAGATGGGAACGTCTTCTACAAATTTGGCAAATCTCCTGTAGCATATTTGGAAGTGCTTTTCCTCAGGAGGAAAAATTACACAGAACAGGCTGTGTATCTTGTGTGTGTAATAGGATTTTGTTCCTCTCCTAATTCTGAATTAGTGGCACTGGAAAGCAGTTAACAAATTGGTTTTAATTTGCCAACCCCTCTCTTGATCATTATCCCAGCTGGACCAGAAATTGTGTTGAACATGGGAGTGCGTTCTAATTTTTTTTTTGTTTTATTATTGCGTTTGTATATGTTTATGGCATGTCTGTACTTCAGCAGTCAGTAAGGCCCTTTTCTTGAGGAAAACATTACTGAAGTCACAGAGCTTTGGGTCCAGTATAGACTGTACTCTCAGATGTCACATGTTTGTTCATAGGTGGATAAAAAGAACAGCCCAGTGTTCTGAAGGAAGTGTTCAAACTTCAGGCTGGGACTTTCTCGATGTCTGCTGGAATGATACCTTTTGAGTATCTTTTCTAATGAAATGAGTAATTCACTTCTCGTTGGAATAAAGCTTATTTTTTCTGTTCTGGTGTGAGGTTTCTCATACTTACTTTTCATCAGTATTGTTACTACTTTCTGCTTTCTTTACTCCTCCTATGAGCTAAGCTTCTACAGAGTGGTTTTGGGATTGGATTAGAACTTTTCAAAGCAGCAGATTGGAACAGGATTAGCTATTTTACTTTGAAAAATATGACTGGGTGTTTTAGTTGTTTATTTTTTTAATTTAAAATTAAAACTTTTTCATCAAAAGAATAATATTTTTTTAAATGTAGTTTTGCTAGCTAAAAAGCCAAAAGACTGAAAGCACCATTGCTGATTTCCCGATCCGTCTATTCCTGATTAACTTGAATCAAGTAAAAAACAGCTTTCGCATCCCTGCCATTTGTTGTTTATGCTTACCACAAAATTGATGAATTTTTTAAAAGAGCTCATTTCTGCTAGTGCTAAATGTGTCGGTGCTAATAAACATCACACTCCAGATTCTGAAACAATACTTCGGAAGGAGGTTTCTCAATCCTGCGGTGCTAGGCTGCAATCGACAGGCGTGCTACTTGATTTCTGTGGCAAACGGAGCCAAAGGTCCTGAGTTCAAATCCCATCTCTGATTCATGATGCGTTGTCTATTCTTGCATCAGCTTTCCCACTGCAACAGTTACTTGCTTCTCGCTTTGCAGCAAGATTGTGAGGGCTCATTGCATCATAAAGCGTCAAAAGTACCTCCACTGGGATCAATTTAATTGAATAACATGTGTGTTGGGTTTGAGCCTGTATGAAATACACGTGTGGTTCAAGGCAGACTTCTTTGCTTCCAGTGCAGTTAATATAGGAACAGACATGCTGGAGCTAGATTGTCACCTGACGAAAGATGAGCAAGTGGTTGTGTCGCATGATGAGAACCTGAAGAGATCAACAGGAGTTGATGTCAACATATCGGACCTCAAATACTCGGTAAGTTGGAGAGAAAACCTTAGTGCTAGATGATGTTTCAAAATGCATCTGTAGGTAGTATGTACGTGTCTGTATGTCTAGTATCCAAAATCTAAGGAGGAGATTCATCTTGTCTTACTAAAAAAAAAAAAAAAAAAAAAAGCTTAACTAGGCTCCCTGCATAGTCAAGGGCAGAAAACCGGCGCGTATCCAGAGGGCAATTAACGCTGTCCAATAGCAGCTTGGATGAGTAGCTCTGGAGGTGGGCTTGTGTTGCCATGCTGATGACAAAGGAAGCTTAGTCAACACGGTCCTTCTTGTATGACCAGCTTTTTAATGGGAAAACCGGTACTTGAATCCCACCTGCACTGACAGTTTTAAAAGCCCGTTTTACAGAACTGTCTTTCCATCTGATATTTAAGTGGAATTCTCAGAATTTTCAGACAGGCATCTGGAAGCGTTTTACCGTACTCAGCTACAGGTAACACGAGTCTAAGAATGCCAAATAGTTCAAGTAAGAGTTAATGCAGTGCTTCTAAATCACTTTTGGGGCAAGAAGGTTTTAAAAAAATATGATTTTTGTCTTTAATGTTTTGGTTGTTTATGAATTATAATTTTTTGTCTTTTTCAAGAAGAGTCATGATTATATCCCTGCATTTGAATTAGTGTTCTATTTCCTTTTATTTTTAAGGAACTCCCACCGTATCTCCGCAAGTTGGATGTCACATTTCAGAAAGGTAGGTTTTGGTCTTTTGCTATTTCAATTTGCAGTACTAGTAACTAATTTTCCATTATTGTAGTGTGGTAATTTCTTATTTTGGCAAAGGGAGTAGAAAAGTGGATTTGCTTCTATCAGCACCTTGATAAGAGAAGTTTTAAAAGGAAAATATAATCCTAGCTTTAGAAACCAAAATATATTTTTTCATACCTGTTAGCAGTGACAAAATTTAAGATGTAAGACAACTTTTTCCAAGTAAACATTTCAATTGTGTGCTTGTCTACTGCTTGCAACTGCTTTCCAGCTCCCCTGTGAGGTCTTCAGAGGGTGCTGACTGAATATTTGTTGTTCCGAAAAACAAAGAGAAGGCAGAAGAGAGTTTCTTTACAACTCAAATACCTCAGTACTAATATTGCTGCATAAGAGGAAAACCTGGAAAAAGATGAAGTTGTTTTCTTGTGAAAACTGTGGTAAAGCTTACAGGCTAAAATTGAGAGCGCTTCCACCTAGAAAAGGCTACCAGAGATTATATCAGATGTGTGTGTTTGCTTGAGGGGCTTTGTGACTATCTTCTGTAGCTTTGCCGTATTTGAATTGCCCAGCAAGCAAATTTTTTGTGAAATATTTGTGTTCAAAATTGCAAAATACTTAAAATGCACCAAGATGAGATCCATGACATGTTATTTTCACACATATGTATCTTTTGTTTATGTACAGTAATACAAAGAAATTGTATTACTGAGAGCCTTCAGTTAATTCCCTAGAGCTACAAGCAGTTTCAGACAATAAAATCTAGGGGGTTTGCCTTCTGTTCCCTTCACTCATTATGCTTCTCCAGTAAATTTTCCTAGCAGGAAATTTTTTTTTCTCATTTGGTCTTGTTTCATGTCAGTCTCGTTGCATTTGGTATGTGGTAACTGAGCTTTGCTATTTCAGTGTTTTAACGATCCCTGCACTCCTACTGTTGCTAAATAATGACTGAATTTAATGAAGTTCAAACCTAAATGTGCAATATGCTCAGGGCATTTTTATTATGGGAGTGAGCTTGTCGTAATTAATTACAGCTATCGGAGTGAAGTAAACTTCTTTTTCAGTTCAAAAGTGTGTTAATTCTAGGAACTGGGGTTTTTTGATTTTGATTTTTTCTCCAATTTTAAGGTAACAAATGCTCTTACATCTCAGCTTTTATCTGTGGTGTATTAAAAATGGTCACAGCAGTGACAACTTTCTTGTTTCCCCAGAATGTCACTGCGAGGGGAAAGACAACCGTATTCCACTCCTGAAAGAGGTGTTTGAAGCATTTCCACAAACTCCTGTCAACATTGACATCAAAGTGAACAACAATGTGTTGATCAAAAAGGTACCTGAAAATCTACGCTGAACTGAGACTGAATGTCATGTAATCATGTCGAAATTCCAAAAGAAAAGTTTCTTGGGAGTTGCTAGCAGTCTGTGATACTAAAATCCGTGTTCTTGGCCTGCTTCGTCCTTCACGTGTTAGATCTTGCTCCATGTATGAGGTAATACAGAAGACAGAGAAGTGATCTTCTGCAAGATATTCAGCAGACAGCTCTGTACTGACCCTTTATCTTGACATGAAACTGATGCTACACTGCTAGACACGTATTTGGTTTGTACTTCATATGAAGGGTTGTCTTACAGACTGTTGCTTACTAAAGCATCATAAAAACATGGTCAGTGTAAAGATAAGTGTGCATTACAGAAAAGGAAATCTGCTTTCCATCAGATACTATTTTGCCATCATGTTTTTTTAACTTCTGTAGGGTTTTTTGTAAGTATGATGGTCTTTCATTTGATCTGTTGACCTGAACACCAGTTTCTTTCCAGTCAAAGCAGCACAATCATCTTAAGATAGGAGAGACTGTAGAAGAACTGTCTTTTCTGTAATGGCTCATGTAGTTCAGAAGCAACAAGTAGAGTTTCAGTTAAATAATTCTGCACATGATTTTCAATGAATACCTGTTAGGGTTCTGCTTTTTTATATTGCAGGTTTCAGAGCTGGTGAGTCAGTATAAGCGAGAGCATTTGACGGTGTGGGGGAATGTCAGTTATGAGGTGGTATCAAAGTGTCTTAAGGAGGTAAGAATGGGTCCAGCTGAGCTTGGTTCTTGCCTGCTTGGTACTGTGTGGTGACAAAATGGACAGAAAAGTACCCTGTAAATCAAGGTCTAGCCAGCTATGCCAGACTTCCAGATGTGATGGGAAATTTTGCGCTTAGATTGTATTCTGCTCACTACACTGTTACAAAAAAATCAAGCACAGTTAACACCCATATACTCTGCAATAAAATACTTTAGGAGTTAAGCTTAATCATGTTTTATTCTTGTTCTATAAAGTATAGGGTGTTATGGTTTTATGCCAGGAACTCTTTGCGCCTGTTTTGCGCGTCATTCATCTGGTACAAAAGCAATTTTTCTAAGGATTGCTTATTCTGTGTTTCTTTTTATGAAAATAATGGATGTGGCCGCTAGTTGACACCCAGTTACATTGGTATAAAGCTGTTTTACAGCTGTAGATTCTGTTCCTTTTTGTGCTGAGGAATTCTACAATTTAGAGTTAAATTACAGTTGTGCTTAGTCCCAGGGAGTTATGCACCGGAGTGAAACTGATCTAGTTGAGAGTACAGATGTTGTTCTGATTTATCTGTGCAGGACAGCACACCATTTCCTACCTGAACAGCAGTTATATTTGTTTATTTTCATAGCATCAGTGCTCAAATATTTTGGTTCATAAACAAACATTTTTGAAAATGTGTTGTAAAGTGAGTTGATGTGATACCTGCACAGCTTGTATTTTGCGGTGATACTAGTCTAAGACAAAATGCTGCGTAGTGTCATGCGGTCTGGAAAAATGATGAAGGCTGGTCACAAAAGTGACGAGTGAAACTTTACCTTTTTCAGATCCCAGTGCCCCTTCAAATTCAGCTTTTGCTTGGATTGCAAGCTGCCACAAAGTAATTTAAACTCAGTGGCAGGCATATCACAAACAGTTGGCAGCCTAATCTTTAGGTGCAACTGCTGAACTTTAAGCATGCATTGATGAGTAAATTTAATTGCAACATACTCAGCCATCTCCCAAGATAATTTAGAATCTTTCTTCCATGGGTCCTGCAGAATGCTGACATTCCCATCATCTTCTGTTTGCAACGCGTCCTCCTGCTTCTTGGCCTGTTCTACACTGGTCTGCTGCCATTCATTCCTTTCAAGGAAGAATTTTTGGAAATTCCCATGCCTTCAATCATCCTCAAGTGAGTTGGAGTCTGTCGGTGCGTGCTGCACTGAAATGACAGTGAAACAAGCGAACAACAATGCCAGCTTGAGCATCGGTTTAGTTGGTATCCTTGGGCTGAGGATACTGTTTTGTTAGCTTAGGCACTTTTGTATATTTCTAAGAGAAAGCTATGGAAATCTTCTACTCCTCTGTATTTAACCTGTCTCTAGCCAGCTCCGAGTTACTCAGTTGTTAGTACGGGGTGCCTGTGTACATCAGTGTTTCCTGATTACAGCATCTCCTGTATGGACTGCCTTCATGCAGCTGCTGTTACAACTGAGCTTGTGCTGATGCCGTCTAGATAGCAATAGGTAGCAGTGCTGTACAAATAACTAATTCTTGCAGTTTTCTCGCTCTTTCTTGAGAACAAAGTAGTCTGAATAAGGCCAAAAGGCAAGTCAGTAGTAGGGTAGATATGAGATCTCACATGCTCTTTGTTTCTCATACTTTACTCCAAATGCTGTTGAATACCCATCTCTGCTGCTTCTCTTACATATAGCACGTTTCTCTTGTGTAACTCGATTCGAAGTCACTGTCTTAGTGAAATTACTGCTCTAATTTGAGCAACTGCAAGATTAATTCTTCATGTTCCTTTTGTAGGAACATCTGAAATATTTTAATCCGTGCTTTGGTAATATTTTTTTTTTTCCCCTCTTTCTCAACAGGCTGAAAGAACCAGAGAAGATGACAAGAAGCCAGAAATTTATTATCTGGCTAGCTGACACGTAAGATTATATTCTTATGAAATTTTTATTTGTATTTTGCCTATATATTAACTGTTGGCTTAAGCAAGTAAGACTAGCTATTGCTATAGGTACTTGTTATGTTGTAATTTTTTTCAGTTTCTTCTGGCTTTATTGGCAGTCCAGCATAAATCAAATTCAAATCTTACATAGGTGTTCCTGTACGCTTTTGTTTTTCATGCACTGAAACATACTGAGGTGCAGTAACAGCAGGCGTTATTCCAGTTTTGTCTGTTTAGTTTCTGTCATTAAGTGTGTTCGGTTAATTGGCATGCAAGTAGATTCAGAGCGCAGCTTTCACATTTCACGGGATTGTGACTGTTCCGTGATGTTGTCAGAAGAGAAGCTGTTTGGCTTACATGGAACACTTTGCATTTTAAGAATATCTGTACTTAAGAGGAAACTTAGTCATAATGCTTTCTGAGGTTGAACGTGATTGCAGTAAGTGTCTTCTGACTCTTGCTCCTGTGTCTGACATCTATTAGTTTGATTTCCTGAGTGGCCAGTAGAGTTTTCACGTCTTCTGGTGTGAAGGATAAAATGTCTTTTAAAAGCAAAGGGATTGATTCATCAAGTATGGTACAGGGTACATGTACGATGATGGAAGAATCTGGTGGATTAGATCTTCAGAAGAGCTGATACAAATATCCATAGCTAATGCAAATTTCTGGGTATCTGTGTTAACCAGTCGTGAGTTGCGTGAACTAAAAATATTGAGTCTAAATGCTCTATGGAAAACTTATTACAGAACATCAACAGACGTTGAAAATTTCATCTATGCTTCAAGTTCTTAAATAATATCTTTCTCCTTTCTGCAGACTGCTAATGCGGAAAGCACTTTTTGACCACCTCACTGCTCGGGGCATTCAGGTACAATGTGGCAAAGCTAAAGGAAATGTGCTTTTGACCTAGTGAGAATTAGAACCAGCCAGATATGGCCTTAAGACAGGTTCAGGTTCTCCCCAATGTGTTCCGTTGTGTTGCTAGGATTTTAAGTTGCTTTTTGGTTCCTGAGCAATAGCTTATGCTGTTATATTTGCAGTTCTGTAGTTTCAAATGAAGAATAGTGTACCTGGGAAAAGCTCTTTAATTTAAATCTCTACAAAACTGGCTAAACTGTTTACCTATTTGCGGCTTTTACCAAAATTATATTCTGACTTCTACAAATCCCTGAAGTCTCCGGTAACAAAATGAAGTGGGAGTCACCACTAGAAAATGCCCCCTTCTAGAGGGCAAGGAGGAAGAAGTTGGATATGTTTGTGTGCCTGTCTTTGGCATCACAGCATAATCATTTATCATATTAAATGCATGCGAAATCATCTCTCTCATATGAAACAATTTAGGTCAAAAGTCACCTTTTTTTAAAAAATTTGAGTATTTCCTGTAGTAACCTCTCTCTCTGTCCCATCTCATAGGTGTATATTTGGGTACTGAACGAAGAACAAGAGTACAAGAGGGCGTTTGATCTGGGAGCAACTGGAGTGATGACAGACTATCCAACAAAACTTAAGGAGTTTTTACACAATTATCCAGTGTAAACGAAGAAAACCAAGGAAGTTCTTGCAGAATAGATTGTGAGCCAAGGATTTTCTTCATAAAAAAAACAAAAGAGCAGCATACACAGATGATTTTTTGAAAGATGTAATTGGATGATCTATTACCTTGTTCTCAAGTTGCTACCTAATGTAAAGGTTGTCTATTTATTTTACAACTTTAATTACATAGTTTACATTTGTAAATAGCTCGTTTAGCAACAGCGCACTTCACACACGCTGGTGACTAGGAAGAAAGTTGCTGGATAGCATACCTGTAGATAATAAGCGTTATTTTACCTGTCACAAGTGTTCTAAGCAGATGTCAAGACATGTCAGTTATTCCAGTTATATTCTAGTGGGCAGAAATGAAAGAATTTCTGGAAGTGTACCCTGCGTGTATGCATTTCTTGTGTTGCTTTTAGTTTTCGGATAACTTGTACGACAAGAAAAGAAAGACAACGCACAGGAGAAACAGAAAGCAGAAGCTGTGGCTAGCCTGATAGTTTAGCCTGTGAAGTGTAGTCAGTAAAGGTGGTTGATTTTTTTACCAAAATTAACTCACTTGGTCAGTATAGAGCTACGTAATTATTCTTACTGACAAGAATGTTGAGCTTGAGTTGCAACTGTATTTAGACCCCTTTCTGACGTGGTGGTAATACTGTGAGTTATTCGCCAAGGTGTAAATTCGGCATTTAAGCCAGGTTCTGGGTTTGGCACCGAGTTCCACTGCTGGGCTTTAGTTTTGCCTGGTGCTGACCTGCCTGTCAGGCTACCATGGCATGGCAGTAGCTAGCTTTCCAGGAAGGAAAATTGCACTTATTGTAGATTGCACTTACTTTGAAATAGTTTTTTCACACAGGAAGCCAATGTTTTAGAAGTCTTTTGCACATTTGTAGTTCTAACATCTGTTGGCTTGATGAATGGGAAGTTGTTTTTAGGGTGAGGGACCAAAGAAGACTGAAGTCTGGTTAAGAGTTTCAGGAACAAATTAAAATGTTCTTATTAAATGAGAGTTCACCCAAATCAGATTTATATGCACACTTATAAAAGGAGCAAGTGACAGTCTGGGATGAGTGTAAATTTTAGTCTTTTCTCTCCACAAAAGTACATTAAATGTTCTTAAGTTTGTGCATAGACGTGGAAGTAACTTTGTTGGCAAAAGCCAGGAAACCCCAAGTCTGCTGGAATGGGGTTAGATAGGAAGGTGTTTCTGGAAGCCTACGTGCTGTTACGTCATTGGGAATGGGTGTTACACGTGTGTCAAACAGATTTGAGCCTGCAATGCCTGCGTGCTTTGGTGTTGTCATGTTAGTGGTAGGGCTTTTCAGGAGGAATTTGATTGCAGTAGCCTGATTATACACAGTGACATGTGTAAAGCTCAGTCATCTAATCATCAGACACTGCTGGAACAAAACTACTGTTTAGCGATAGCGTCTGCTTCTTTAAGGAACTTCATGTGAAAATCATCTTAATAATAAATATAGTAGCCAGATGCAAGAGTGTATTTACTGCAAAGTATACTCGCTGTTATAAAAGCTTCTAAAGTAATTTTTTTCACTTGCTAGCTCAGATTTGGAAGGGCTTTTGTGTCACTGCACTGGCTGCTGTGCCATACTGGTAATCGCGGACCACTTTTGCTATTTCATTATGTCTGTTAGTAGGCTGTCAGTGTTACAATGTCAAGTCCATCTGGAGGGTTAATATTTGTTTCTGCATTATAATTCCTTTCTGAGGAATATTTCTAAGTGGATGAAGGGGAAGAAAGTGCTGCATTTACAGTTTAAGAGAACATCTGACAATGGTGGCACATCAGTTAATGGTGTCCTTCTGCCTGGTTGAGATGGCTGTAGATTCAATTTCCTCTTAATCAGGCTTGTTGAATGGAAGAGAGGAAAATGTAACTTCCTAACTGTTCGTAGGAAAAAGGATGAAATTATTAATTATGTGCTAAGCTTCTTGTTTCCCTTTCAGACCAGTTATGTCTGGTCAGATCAGTGCTAATAATCAGTCTAGTTATAGTTCTGTCTGTTTTCTGTTAGTCACAGAAGAGTTATAGAATAGGCTCGATATACAGCTCAGTAGGTAATAAAAAACTTCCACCCTTTCTGTCTTAGTTTGATTTACTAGCCACTGTGTAGCTCCAGACAGTTTTTATGCAGTGTGGGTTTCTTCAACTCAATTTTATTGCTGTTGAATTTCCAACACAGACACCTACATTAAAATACAAATATAATTCTGGTTTTAGGCAATACTACCAAATAGCACTTACACATTAAAACTTTTTTTTTTTTTTAGGCTAGGAGAAGCTATGTTTTAAAATACTAGTCTTGATTTCTGGACTTGATCTTTCAAAGGACGGGCGATGACTTAGTTTCTCTCAAGTTTCCCTCATCACTGCAGAAGTAAACTATTTTGCTTTATTCTATATTGAATGACAAAACACAGTCATTGAAATGACAAACTTAATATTTCAGTTTCATTTTAATCTCTTTCCCCTTTCTCTCTAGCAGTGGAGTTGGAAACTTCTGCCTTCAAAGATACTCAGCATATTTTTCAACCACTAGTGTTCCTACATCTGATGTAGCTTTTGACTGTGCTGTTTATACGTGACCTCTGTTTGATAAGTCTGCTGCTTAATATCTGAAATTTGAATGAGTCAAGTTACACGGGAGGGAGGGGTTCAGTACTGCAACAGCTGCTGAATTTAGTCAGTCAAATGTTTGGGCTTTTGTACAAAAGCTAAAGTTTGATCGCTTGAGACAGATAATGTTCCATGGATGAGGCCATGAATCTGAGCACCAACGCACAGGGCTTAGGCCATGATAACTGTTTGTAACAAAATAACATGGAACTGAGGTAACCGTAGAATGTTTATTCTACCAGATCATTGTTTCCAATAGTCCAGAACTTCTTGCTGTGTGATTTTTAAACCACTTGTACAGAAGAGCATTTGTTGAGAACTTGCATAGCTGTCCAGGAGGATGTTCAGTTAGTCTCTCTCTCCAAGGAGAGATTATTTTCAGGTACTTTTAACTCTAAATATTGTTTAACACTTACTATGTTCTCAATCCTATTGCAAAATTTTTTATGTATGAAGGATGATGCGTGTATTCCATGCACTTTTAATTTGCAGAAAGTGTTGTGGACCTCTCTAGCTCCAAATCTGTGAAATAATTTTTTGCTTTTCTTGTAAAGAAAGATTCATGCTCTTGAAATGTGACACATTAAAACATCTTTGCTCATAAAAGGTCTAAAACTAAATACTTATTAGTTGTGACTTCTTTGTCTAAAAGTATAATTTCTGAGACTATGGTATTGTGTTTATAGTGTAGTAAATATTGAACTTTCAATGGTGATCTCTTTATGTGGGTAGGGTTGCTAAAAAGGAGGGGGTATCTTACATACTCTGAACTTCAAAGAAATTTTTGGCAATGACATTGGTTTTCTCAACAGTAATCGTAGTATCTGCAACTGTGTGCAGCTAAAAGAAGCCTGTAGAGGACTTAAGCCTGCCTTCTCCATGTCCAAATGAACTTCAAAGTAAAACTTAAGTCAATTCCAATTTGATTTTCTATAATTTATTTTCAGACAGAAACAGCAGTAAACTTGATCAACAGTAGTAGATAAATGCAATCAGAATTGGTCTCCATATGCGATGCTAGAAAACAGTGTAGAGAATTCTGTTGGTTCAACAGTGCAGTCCGTGCTGTTGCTTCATTGCTTCCAAACGAAGGTCTGTCTGCAGAACAGGCATCGCACGCCTCCAAGCAAATAATCAGAATTTAAGGTGGGAGAAGAGTGGGAAGGTGTACAAATTGGATACTAAACTCTTGGAATATTACTGTATGTTACTCAGTTGGAAGTAGATGGGTCCTGTGTGGTAATGGTAGAGGGAGAAACAAGGATGAAGATCCCAAGTGTCTTAACTGTCACCACATGCCAGGAGAACCAGTTCTGCATCTATGTGTTTGCCATCAGCATCTTCCAGTGTAAAGAACTGGCAAATTCTGTCCACTTGTCAGTGGTTGTAGCACCTTTAATTGGAGATGGGGTCTGTAGTTCTGTATGGATGAAAACAGCAAGGTGTAGTGAGCCAAGAAATGTTTCTGATGTTAATAATGCTTGGAGAAGTATTACATATGCTAGTGTTTTGGATAGCCATGCTCAAAAGTCATTGTGCAAGTTTGAGAGCATCAGCCTTTGCTTTGCAATTCAGTGTAAAAATGGTTGTCTGCATCAGAGCTGCTTTCTAATTACTTATTTCTAGAAATCATGATCCTTAATTCCTAAGCACAGTAATGCATGCCTAAATAAATAGCAGGTTTTTTGGTTAGGGGACATGTCTGCTTTTTTAACATCTATTGTTTGGTGTTCATCCAGTGTCATGATTGGTGGCCCGATTCTGGCAGGGTTGTAAGATTGTGCACGTTCATTACAATATAGGTCAGGTTTTGAAAACACTGACAAAATCATCTTATGTAGCCTGGTACTAGACGTCAGCTCTGACCTATAATCAGGCTCATTAGTTTAATTACAGGATGTAGCAGTTCACAGATGTGGAGGATGTTGTATCCTATGTGTGTACGTGTATCATATCCGAATTGAATGGGGGAAATGAAGCCGTGCAGTTACCTGTGCGTGTGAGGAACTGTGGGAGAGGAACTGGCCTGAGCGTGCAATGGGACCCTTCATTGCGAAAGGGCTTTATCTGCTTTTTTCACTTGATTAATAATCATAATTTCCTATTTGGTCTCTGTTGAAATGGTAAATATCTGATAATTTAGACTTAATTTTAAAAAAATATCTTACTGTGGCCTTTAAATTATCCTGAAATACCTTTCTGTGATGTCTTAAGGACACTTTTGTTCTATCTCCCACGCAGAGGCAGTCTTCTGCCTGCTCACTTTTGTAGAGGACTTACGCAAAAGATTGTGGATGATCCATGAAAGATGAGTGGATTATGGAGTATAAAAAGCCTTGGACAGTCGACAGGTATCTGCTTCCCAGCTGAGGACAGCAATCGAGCTGTGTTTTGAATATGCTGATATTAACGGGTGTTCCGCTTGGTGCGGGTTTCCGTGGGGTGTTGCGTTGTCCTGTGTGGGGTGGTGGTTTGCTGGGAATA